CCGTTCCATTTAGTGCCATACACGAGCATTTCTCAGTCCTGTCTCTGTCCATTTCTGTTTGTACCTGTCCGTTCATGCCCGATTCCCCTGCCCACCTGCCGTCTCTCTCTTCCTGTTCGTCCAAAACCACCTGACTATCTGAATCGCTAAATGGATCTCTAACATACACGCACGTTCCTCTCGGTGTGTGAGTTATATCCATGCGACTAGGATTCAACTGTGATCGTTCCCATGCCTATTAAATCCCCGGAACCATGTCCTTCATCATCATAATCATCACCACTGGCACACATCATCATTGCTGATCTTTTCAGTTCGAGTCTGGTATTCATCTGAAACCCAGTCCCTACTGAACCACCCTTCTCTTGTGTATTTTTGCCTGTTCAGTACCCCACACTCGGATTAACTTTCTATCGTCTCTCCAACGATGCTATCATGACTCCCTCCCTTTTTCACTTGTTACCCACAGAGCATGATGCGGAATTGATCAATCTGTCCTATCTTGATACAGTTCCATCTGTGCAATTCCATCCCAAATGTACTCGCTCAGATTAGTCCAGCTCTCCCCTTCCCCCCCNCCCCCGAACCCCACTTCCGTCCACTGTTTCATCGCTCTTGGTCGCCCCCCCCCCACCTCATCTCTTCTGTTTTCTTGTCTTATTTGAGATATACATATTCATTGAATAGAAAGAGTGAGAAAGGAAGAACCCAAGACCAATTTTCTCCACAAATGTCAATTCACACACAATGCTCAATCCGGCTTGTGGTAGGTTTCTCGATCGCGGTGTATACGTTTGCGATCGTCAAACAAAGATCAGTCTCCTGGTCCTTCAGATTGGGTGTTCGACTCGAGTTGGCGTCTTAGTCGGTAAAATGGTACAACAGTAATCGATCCAAGGAAATGGGCCGCTTCGTTACGATCAGGTTCTTGTCAGAACTAAAGTCTTTGGACGATAGCCCTCATCGTTTTGATTAGTGATCGGACACCCTGGCAGTAACCGTCCATCGAACTCTGATGTATACACAAACAAAAAATATATCCATCGGTTGTAGCGCAGGATGATCAAGATTGCGCTGTTCATTGCAGACATCCCAACTTTTGTTTAAATCTTTGTCCTCCGTATCCAACGCTCTCCCTTTACCCCTTCTTCAGACTCTTAACGTTCCTTTGGACAACTTGTTCGTCACTTGCTAAAGTTCGTTGCCAAGATGCGCGGTAAGCAGTTTACCACAAAATGGATTGCAGATTCTGAAACCTTATCAATCACTAAATCTGGGGACCTTCAACATGGGGACGATGATACAGGTAGGTCAGCAAGCGTGTCTGGTTCGTACAATGTACTCTTTGGGGATTGACGCCCACTGCATATCGGAAACGCAAATCTAGGATCCTAGTACCATAAGCCACTTAATTATACCGTATTTGTCCTCGAGGTACTTCCTCTGCACGTCAGGTGATGACGAAGCCCGTTCAGTAGGCCAGCTTGGCAGGGGTATTCTACTCAATACAGCCAGAGCTGCTCTACTCAAATAGATCCCTATCAACAGTCGCTTATTTGCGATGCGGCTCCAAGGGTCTATCAGCGTCCGGAAGGGCTGCAACTCCAAGATGTGTTTATTCATCATTTCAGCGTATGCACCGACCAACTACAGTACTGTTCGGCAAGAGCAGAGTTGTATGCTACCGAGCGCGTCCCCAGGTCGCGGATAGGGGAACGGCCGCTAACTGGCAGTTGACTGTGAATAAGGTGATGAGTTTACCATTTGGCAAGAGTTCTCTACACAAAACACCACATGTATCTTATGAAAGCGCTGTGACGTGGTGAGTGTGATCCGCCACTGAATACTGCCATTGCCCCTTGTCGAATTACATCAACCAGAGAAGGTGAATGAACCAACCGACCGGTCACTTGCTTATCTGGAACAATACTGCTGCCTTGTAGCTCGCGCTTGGTTGCGTGAAAGCTAGAGCGCATCCTCGAACAAGGCCTTCTCTGGACTGGGAGACCGAGTAGTACAACAGCCCACAATGCAAACATTGAACTTCAATCTAATCAATAACTTACTCTTTCAGTTCTCGCGCATGAAAAAAACACTTTACACCGTGCGCATCTTCCTTTTTTCCAGCTTTTCCTCCACCTCATTCACCGCCCTCAAACATTAGCATTATTATCAAGCTCTTCAGACAATCGTACTACCAGTTGTGCCTCCGATGGAAACTCCGTCCTTTTTCTCGCGCGTCCTGCCTCTAATGGCGTCCAAGTCTCACCGAATCTTCTTCCACCAGTTGAAGCTCTTCTTTGTCCTCGATTCCCATTCAAACTAGCCACACTTAACGTGCTTACCTGGATGCGTTTAGGATAACAGGCGTGTTTAGCTCGTACCCTCGAGACCCTAGCCATCGATGTGCTGTATCCAAGAGACTCGCATTTAAAACTCTAGCCCCGCCATCCGATTGACGTCCCCGTCAGACCTATCCGCGAAGTTTCACCTNCCTGCGTCTTTCCGGGGACCCTGAGGCTGCAGCTTCTGGTCTTACTGGCATTTGCGTGGCTCTCAGTGAGAGAGCTGAAACCGCGCTCCTGGATTGGATTCCACTAGACAGTAGGTTATGTACAATGAGACTCAGAGGCTCGTGCAAACTAAATAATCGTCTCTCCGAAAGACGCAACTTGTTTATCGTCCCAGCGTACGCACCTACGAACTGTAGCCCAGATACAGTCAAAGATACTTTCTACCAAAAGCTGCACGACCTCTTACGTAAGGCAAAT